CCCCAGGGAATGGTTCTGATGCCGATCTAGGACAAGGGTTTGTAAGCCACATTTCAGTACACATCCCATTTTCAGAGTTACAGCTTACCCCTTCCCTGTTCACTTCTCCTGTATGGCTCCAAGCCCAGGCAATGTTCCCTCTAATCTTTTCCATCCAGGGCAGGGGACTGCACTTGATGACCTCTCAAAGTCTCTTCCAGTTTCAGTGTTCTATGATTCTATGTGTGGATTTTTTCATCCATGTGTGGAATACATTTTTATGTGCACCAATGTTTCCTGAGCAGCTACACCAGAGCCCAGCTTACGAGGCACTATGGCTTCAGGTCCTTGCGTGCCAAAGCATCACTCCCCAACCCTTGGTGGCACCTGCAAGTGGGAACACAGCAGTCCAGGCAACAAGGTTTTAAAGAACCCCTTTGGTGAGGTGTTCCATGGAGGAGCATTACCTCTGAGCTTTTATATAGGTAAGTTGCACAGATATTCAGAGTAAATTATTCTTTGGGACAACTGGAAGAGTCATGTGGTACTACAGAGTAGTGAAGTATCAGCTGTGCACCAGATGGTGATTTTGGTGAAATGACTCATGTGTCTGACCATATCAGTATCCACTGAGGTCAATGGTACTAGTCCGGGTTGAAATGTGTAAGTGTAAGGGTCTATGACACACACAGCAATGCTGCAAGTATGGTGTCCTTAGGTAAGGTTTGGAAGAGCTGGTTCTTCAGTTACCTTGCTATCCAGCAAAAAGCCTGGTGCAAGGGTTAATTTAATATAACTTTGCAGCACAAGTCGGTTAGTGAGTGCGTAAGTGGGGCAGCTATAGCAGGTGTTAATAATGTCGTGTTCTCTCACTGCATCTAACCTGTTTTAACAGCAGCCGCAAATGCAGAGTGATTAGCTATTTTGTGCTAAATTATTCACCAGTGATGAAAAAATATTCAGTGAAGAACCCCACAGGTTACACTAAGACACTTATGTGGCAGGGAGGCTAAATATTACAGCTGTAGTAGATTCTAGACTTACTTCTGTAAGAACTCAAAGTAGCTACAAATTTACTGCATGTTCCTCTGTCCCTTTACAGCCATAGATACTGACTAACTGTCTTCTGTGCATCTTGGGATGCTAGTTTGGGGCCATTCCTATTAGGTGACCTAGATGGGAAAGGAGGGGGCAACTCAGTGACTTGTCATGTTAGACATTTAATTTTAGTGCTCACTTTGGTGGGGGGCGGGTAGGGAAGACATAGTTTTATCTACTCTATTTACTTTACATATCGAGAGGCTAAAACAGACAGTGGACTTCCCCTGTCGATGGAGCTTTGTATGGAAAAACCATACAAGAGCTCAATGCCAACCCAGAAGCACAAGAAATATTTTGTTTCATTAGATTAAACAAAATGTGTCTGATGAGATTGACGTTTCCTGTATATTTGCCCTAGGGCAGATGGCTTTCTTTTAAGCAGGTGGAGCTCACGACTGCTCAAGGGAGTTGAGGTTCCTCCCTCCCTGTCCCTTTTCTTGTGCAGATTTTGAAGTGGTTTTAGTGATATTATTTCCTTTGACAGATTGTTTTGTGAGTGACTTGCCCTTATTCCAGACTGAGCCAGAGACCTGTGGCAACCAGGTTAATTAGCTGCAATTATGGCATCCAACAATTTTACAGGGCCAATTGTTCCTTAAAATTGCTTGGCTCAGGCTTGTACTGAATTATTTCTTTATTGTTATTTAATATAAACACATTA